GGGTCTCACTATGGATTTGAGACTGCCTTGGAACTCACTATGTAGCCCAGGCTGGTCTCGAACTCACAGCGATCCTCCTGCCTCAGCCTCCCGAGAGCTGGGATCACAAGGCATATGCCACCACGCCCGGCTCCCTTCTTATTTATTTTTTTGGTACCAAGGACTGAACTGGGGACCTTGCATTTGCGAGGCAGGCAGTGGAACCACTGGGCTAAATCCCTGGCCCTCCCCAGACCCCTTTTAAATTTTACTTTGAGATGATATCTCACTGAATTAATTGCTCAGGCTAGTCTGGAACTCTTGATCTTCCTGCCTTGACCTTCTGATAGCAGGGGTTGGGGGTTACATTTGTGTGCCGTGACACCTGGCCTACCCCTGGGCCTTTGCTCCTGCTATAGTGCCTTTTATTCCTCTTTTTGGCCAGCATCCTTCATCCTGCATGTGGATCTCACCTTCTCCAGGAAACTCAGCCTTATCTTCCCTGCCCCTGGCCTCCTCTGGTCCTGGATGGCCTTAGCTAACATGCAAGTCTCACACAGAGGACTTGGCTGTGGAGTTGCCTGTGAGCTTCTTCAAGGCTGGAGCGTGGGGAACATCTGTGCCTCTGGGCCCAGCCTAGTGCAGGGCATACAGCATGAGCTCAGGGTGTGCTTAGAGCTGGATGAGTGGAAAGGGGCACGGTGGGAGTGTGGCTAACCCAGCAGCGGCACTTCCTGTGGCCTGTGCTCAAATACGGACACCTCTCCTCTAGGTCTCCAACGATGGCCGGTGGGCTGTTTGCTGTGAATAAGAAATATTTTGAATATCTGGGGTCTTATGACACAGGAATGGAAGTTTGGGGAGGAGAAAACCTTGAATTCTCCTTTAGGGTAAGAATTCTAGTCTTCTCTTTGGATTCTTTCTTAACCTGTTCTCTCCCTCCTTCCCCCCCCCCCTCCTCTCTAGTGGACCCATTCTGAGGGCCTGGTAGACTTTTCTTCCATACTGGCAGTTTATTTAGTAATTCTGAACAATAATAGTAACGTATATATCCTATTTACCAGTTTTTCTCCTTCTTAGAAATGTATGTTTAACAGCTTGGAGCTGGAAAAGATCTTGCCAGTCAACTAGTTCTTTCTCACCCTACAGAAGGGAGGAAGTGACTCTGAGGCCAGGAGAGGGACAGTGACTGTTTTCAGGGTCACTCAGTGGCAGAGACTGGGCTAAAATGCAGGTGCCTGCCCCTTGGCTGTAGGAGCCTTTATTTGACCAACAGTTTATGGAGTAGCCTCTTCATTTAGCACGATGGCTTTCACACTTGGACGCATATGAGAGTAGCTGGGGAAATGTGCTCTGAAGTAGATTCATAGGCGGTCTAGAAAGTCAGATTGGAAAGACTTGTGGGGAGGCCAGGAATCTGCCTTTCTTAACTAGTCTGCTAGTGATTCTGCTGATCATGGCCCATGGAAACCCCTCTGAAAAAAATCCTTAGCATTTCAGTGGATTTTTTCATGCAATAGAATCTTACGTTTTTTAGATCAAAACTTAAGATATTTAATAATACTGTACCTAAACCGGGCATGGTGGCTCATGCCTGTAATCCCAGCATTTGGGAGGCTGAGGCAGGAGGATCTCTGTGAGTTCGAGACCACCATGGGCTACATAGTGAGTTCCAGGTCAGTCTTAACTACACAGTGAGACCCTGTCTCAAAAAAACAAACAAATGAACAAACAAAATAATAATACTGAATCTGGTGTTCTACCCTCATGAAAAGAGTTAATAAAGAACTTGGCCTTCCACTGCAGACTCACACCCTCTGTTATGAGCACCAGATGCTATGCTTGTTTGTAGTGTGCTTGGGGAAACAAGAAGTTCACAGCTCCAGCTGACTGCCTGTTGCGTTTAATGGTCTTTCTGCCTCTTCCCTAGGTGTCGGGCTGCCCTGCCTCTTCTAGAAGCTCTCCCTCTGTCCCTTCCAAACCTCTCTTCTTCCTTGCTGCTTTCCTGTCTTTTGTGGCTAGGTGATCAGGTAACCAAGCCTTGTTTTGCTTAATAAGTGGGCTGCCAGCGAGGTCTCTCAGCCCGTTAGTGCGCGCACGAGCTGCTCGTGTCTGGACTTCGGGGCCTTGGTTTGTCTTTGGGGCTGCTTCTTTGCTCTGTGCCTGCGTCCGTGTCATGAGCATGCTGAGGAAGTAGCCTGCCCCGTGGAGGCTGAGCAACTTGGCCGCGTCCACCGTGCTATCTGTGTCCCTTTTCCTGGGGATGGACAGCTCATCTCTTGCTCACAGCTTCAGCCTCTCTCCTGCTCTGTGTGCAGATCTGGCAGTGTGGTGGGACTTTGGAAACACACCCGTGCTCCCACGTTGGCCACGTGTTCCCCAAGCAAGCTCCCTACTCCCGCAGCAAGGCCCTGGCCAACAGCGTTCGTGCAGCTGAAGTGTGGATGGATGAGTTCAAAGAGCTCTACTACCACCGCAACCCCCGAGCACGCCTGGTGAGTCCCCTGCCCTGGCTCCAGAGATAGGTGACAAATCATTATGGGCAGAGTTTATTCCTGCCTTTATAATAGTAACACGCATATCACCAGTTTGTATTCACAGTAGCCGTTATCTAAAGCCATCTCAAAAACTGAACTGGTGAAAGAGGAACCTGCCTTGCTTTTGCTTCCTCTGTCACGCCAAGTGCTGCAGAGCAAAACATCTGCTCTTCACTGCCGCCCGGTCTGAAACCCAGGGTTCCTGTTCCCAAGGCTTCCCAGAGAACTCGGCTGAGGGATGTTGAATACACCTTTAGGTTAAATGCACAGTGGCCTGGGTGTTGAAATGGAATTTTGGTTCAAGCTGGGGTCGTGGTAACTCTCATCAGAGAAAGAACTTGGAAACAGCAGAAATCTGAAATTGTATTAACTATTTCCTTATTATTACCACTTGGTTAAATATCTCACTTGTCCATTTTTAGTCATTTAACATCATGAGACAGGGACAGTCGTATTTCGGCCTTCAGCGCTGTTCTTGAGGATGATCATTGGCCATACTAAGGAGCAACTTGGTTTATTTAAATACTTGAAAGCTCCCATTGGTTTTGCCCATGAACCCAGATTTCCACAAGCATTTCCTACTGCAGCATTTTGCTCTTAGCCACCCCAGTGTGGCAAGTGTAGATATATACTGGGATACATTAAGCACGTAAGATTTTCACTCATGATTACATCTAGGATTTTCAGGTATCAACCCTGAGTCGTGCTGAGACCGGTGGCTCTCTGGTGGGTCTGTGGATGACATCAGGTTCACAGGCTCCGCAGTGGGAGTGTGGCTCTAAGGTTTGGCTCCCTGGCTCTATCAGCAAGTGTGTTGTCTCCTGTTCTTGTACACCCATCACCCCCTACACCTGTCACCGCCTCCCCATAGTGAGATCAGCTGGGAATGGACCTGTGTGTGCGACAGCCTCTCCTACAAGAAGGAACTGGGGCTGCCTTGAGGCTGTTCACGTCCTCTGTGCACAGCGCCCAACACAGCACAGACGGCTGGCAGAAGCAGTGGGTTGTTAGCACGCATCAGCGAAGCAAGGGGCTTCAGCGGGAAGCACTGTCTTGTCTCCTCAGGAGCCCTATGGGGATGTGACGGAGAGGAGGCAGCTCCGGGCCAAGCTCCACTGTAAGGACTTCCGGTGGTTCCTGGAGACTGTGTATCCAGAACTGCACGTGCCGGAGGACAGACCTGGCTTCTTCGGGATGGTGAGCAAGGCAGGCCGTGGCAGACAGGGCGTTCCCTGGATCCCAAGCCAGAAGAGCCCCTTTGTAGGGACCACAGGCCTCCGCCACTCCCTCGTCCCTTCCACCTTTTCACCTACTGCGCTTCCCTCTCCCCATTGGTCTTTTTTCCCCATTTAGGAACTTTCAGTTTAGGAGTCCACAAGGGCATTAGGAGGGTAGGAGAGTCACTTCTAGTTGTTCACAAAACCTAAAGATATGTTATCCACATTTCTCTCTTTTTAAGCAAATCCCAGGAATTGTGTGGCTTCACGCCCATCTGTGTACTTTAGTCTGAGTTCTTATAAAATTTGGACATTATCTTACAAATCCTCAGACCGTTATCACCCCTACTGGAGTCCACAAGGGCATTAGGAGGGTAGGAGAGTCACTTCTAGTTGTTCACAAAACCTAAAGATATGTTATCCACATTTCTCTCTTTTTAAGCAAATCCCAGGAATTGTGTGGCTTCACGCCCATCTGTGTACTTTAGTCTGAGTTCTTATAAAATTTGGACATTATCTTACAAATCCTCAGACCGTTATCACCCCTACTCAAATGATAGGAGTCCACAAGGGCATTAGGAGGGTAGGAGAGTCACTTCTAGTTGTTCACAAAACCTAAAGACATGTTATCCACATTTCTCTCTTTTTAAGCAAATCCCAGGAATTGTGTTGCTTCACGCCCATCTGTGTACTTTAGTCTGAGTTCTTATAAAATTTGGACATTATCTTACAAATCCTCAGACCATTATCACCCCTACTCAAATGAACACTCATTTAGTATCCAGTTCTAGTTCACAGTCCCCCAGTTCTTCATAGCTCTTTGTGGGGGGGGAGGTTGGCCGATTCCACATTTTGTTTGGCTTTTGTGTCTTGTTTCCTAAGTCTCTTTCAATTTTATTTCTCTTCCTCTTTTTCTTTTGTTAGTACTTCCAACTTCTTGAAAAATTGGATCTGTTGTCTGCAGAGGGTCTCACTCTTAGAATTGCTCCTTTTTCCTTTATACTGTCTTTAAGTTGTACCTCTCTCTGGTATTTCTTTACAGTGATAGTGGGATCTAAAGGTTTGGTTAGAGTTGGGGTCAGCCTCTTTGGCAAGAACATTTGTGGATTGTGCCTTGTATTCCTGTGGTGCCTTATCAGGAGCTCGTAAGCTCTGGTCATTTTGCTCTTAGTGGTAACATAAAGTGGATTCATGGTGTAACCATGACGATTCACAGGCAGCTTCCCACCATCCTTGTCTCATGGCTTTGATAGTCATTGATAACTATTGAGTAGATCCAGTTTTTCACATGGAGTTGCCAAATGGTGATTGTCTCCTTTCTTCCATATTTATTAGTGGAATGTTTCTGTAAAGAAAAATATTCTCAGGCGGGGGATTTAGCTCAGTGGTTCTGCCACCTGCCTCGCAAGCACAAAGACCCAAGTTTGATCTTTGGTACCAAAAAATAAAAGACTTAGCAAGATTATGTCTCAAAAAGAAAAATATTCTCTAAGAAAATTGGTATCCGGGCCAGGGATTTAGCTCAGTGGTACTGCGCCTGCCTTGCAAGTGCAAGGTCCTGAGTTCGATCCCAGTACCAAAAAATAATAATAATTACCAAGAAAATTGATATCCATGAAGTTCAGAATTCATACAGCAGAGGCATGTCATTTTTTGGTACTGGGGATCGAACTCAGGACCTTGTGTTTATGAGGCAGGTGCCGTGCTACTGAGCTAAATCTCTGGACTTGAGTCCTTTTCATTTACTTATTTTTTGAATAAGAATCACCTTAGTGTCCTGCAGTTGTATCCAGTGGGCTGCTTTTCTGTTTGTTGATGCTTTTGTTTTTGTGGCTCTTTCTTTTCTTGACTACGTAAGCTAATGGGGATTTGCTGGGATAGGAATGCATCGTCCCCTAACTCACATGTAGGAAACAATCCCCAGAGGAACAGTCTTTGGGAGGTGTTTGATTGTTAGGGGCTCTGCCCTCCCGAGTGGATCAACACTGCTATAAAAGTGCTTGTGGGCCCTGTTACTCTCTTGCATCCTCTGTCTCCCACTGTGTGAGGGTGCAGTAAGGAGGCCCTCCTGGGGCAGTGCCTTGATCTTGGGCTTTCCAGGCTCCAGAAATGTGAGGAAATAAATTTGTTCTTTATTTCTTTGTCGTACTAAAGATGGAATCCAGGGCCTTCACACTGAGCCCAACCTCTCTGAATTAATTAATTAATTTTTTGAAACTGTCTAAGTCATTACATTTGTGAGTTTGGGCTCAGACTTGCAGTTCTCCTGCCTCAGCCTCCTAGAATACTGGGACTGGCAGTGTGCACCACTACACCCAGCTTGCATTTCTGTTCTTTATAAATTATCCAGTTTTGGTCTTCTGTTGTAGCAGCACAAGACAAAGACTGTGTTTACATGGCTAGTGAGTTTCAATCCTTAGTTTGTCTTTTAAAAATATTCAAATTGAGGCCAGGCCCACACCTATACACCTAATTATAAATTATCCAGTTTTGGTCTTCTGTTGTAGCAGCACAAGACAAAGACTGTGTTTACATGGCCAGTGAGTTTCAATCCTTAGTTTATCTTTTAAAAATATTCAAATTGCGGCCAGGCCCACACCTATAAACCTAGCACTTGGGAAGCTGAGGCAGGAGGATCGCTGTGAGTTCAAGACCAGCCTGGACTACATAGTGAGTTCCAGGTCAGTCTCAACTACGTAGTGAGACCCTGACTCAAAAAACAAACAAACAAACAAAACAAACAAAGCTAAAGAATTTATCAGTCACCATATTAAAGGAACAAGTAAAGTTAATAATTCATTGAACCCAGTATATCCCTAATATTGCCATTCAACATACAGCTAATATAAAGCTCCGTTAAGATATTTAATATTGTTTCTTTTTACATTAAATCTTGATATCTGTCATATATTTCACACTTACACCACATCTTAATGTGAATTAGTCATATTTCAAGTGTCCATTAGCCACATGTGGCCAGTGGCTACCAGGCAGAATAACACTATTTCAGTGGGCACAGAAAAGACCTACATGTCTTTGAGAAACAAATCAGGTGCTTATATTGGCATCTCAAATTCACTTGTGACCTTATTAAATCTTTTCTATTTGTGTATTCTACTTCTTTTTTCTTAACGCTGAAAGTTCTGGTGTCTAACACAGTAATATTAACATAATTACTTGGTTGTTTTACCCTAAAGTATTGTTAAAATAGTTTCAAAACTATGATGCTGCAGTAGTCAATGTTATACTGAATGAACCGTAGGATTTCTTTGCCACTCTGTTTGCTTATTGAGTGTATTTCACTAAGGAAGTGTTGTTAAACGTACTATGTTGTAAAGTCATTTAGAAAATCCCAGGCTGAAGGTAACACATTTTACACTCCTCGCATGCACAAGGCCCTGTGTCCATCCCTGGTACCACAGAAAACCATTTTCGCCGTATCCATCGCCAGCTTGATTTGGTTAGCTTAGCCACTCTTAGGTGGAGGACATAGCCCAGGTGTGTGATGTCTAGAGCAGGGCAGCCCTGAGGTTGCTGCTGAGAATAAAAGAGGTAGGAGCTTTAAGGGTGGAAAACAATTAATCTCTGATCCACAGGCTTATTGTAGTTAAATGGGGTAAAATTTTCTGCCAGCAGTTCTGACAGGGAGAGCACAGGGGTGAGTAGGAGGTGCTGGGTAGGAGGAAGGGCTCTTCTTGTGCAGTCTACCTCAGGAGGCAGGCTTTCCTCTCAGCTCATTTACCTCCCTCCCGGCCTGGCTTGGAATCTGCTGGTGTGTATCAAGCTGGACCAAAATTCCTCCTTTGTGTTCTGTTTAGCTCCAGAACAAAGGACTGAAGGAATACTGTTTTGACTATAACCCTCCCGATGAAAACCAGGTTGCAGGACAGCAGGTCATTCTGTATGCCTGCCATGGGATGGGCCAGAACCAGGTGAGTGTGGGGCTTGGGGAAAGAAATGAGGGCAAAGCTGTGTGGCTTTTTGTTTTATTGTTTGTTTTGTTTTGTACTGGGGATTGAACTCGGGACCTTGCACTGGCAAGGCAGGCAGTGGAACCACTAAGCTAAATACCCAGCCCTATGTGTATGTTTTTTTTTTAAAGTAAAATACTTGATTTTGGGGGGCTAGACGTGTAGCTCCATGGTAGAGTTCTTGCCTAGCATGTACAAGGCCCTGACTTCTATCCCTAACATATTAAAAAATTTTTTAAAAATGTTTCGTTATAGCAGTTGTATGTGTTCATTTCAGAACATTTTGGAGATATAAAAAGTAGAAGCAAGAAGGCATGATCCACAGAAACCACCATTAAAATGAAAACATTTTTTCTATCTTTGTTTATGTACACAGGCTTTAGATTATGTGTTTTAGATCTTACCATAATGTCTTGCCTGTTTATTGTGGAACTAAGAGTTGAACCCAGGGCCTTCTCATATTGCTAAGTCACCAAGTTACCCAGGTTAGGATCAAATTTGTGATCTCCCTGCCTCAGCTTCCAAGTGTTGGGATTATAGGCCTATGACTACCACACCTGGCACGTTGTATTTTACATTCCATTGAATTTACCATATTTATATTATTAGATGTCCTTTGGGAATACCATTCCCGGTGGCCTCTTAATATTTGATTGTGTGACTGTTTAGTTCACTGCTCGTCTGCCTCCCTGTTTTTGTTACTGTAGAAACTGCCATGAGCATCTTTCACTAGAAAGATGGGGGAAAAGAAAGAATCCCATACCTGCATTTTGGATGATTTGCTTAGAATTCATTCTGAAATGGAACGATAGATTTTTATGTATAGAATCCTACTGCAAAATGGTGTTAGGGAAATTGGCTTAACTGGGGACCCAGGTGGATCTTTCTGGATCAGTGCTGCATGTCAGGCTGGTTCGGGGAAGCTCGGGTCTGAGGGCTCTGGGACCAGGACAGAAACCCCAGCCAGGGGAACAGTGGACTTTTAGCAGGGTGGGGCCTGTGGAGGACACAGGGGAGGAGACTGGGATGGTTCTGGACTGTCAGTGTGTACTGAGCAATGGAGCACCAGATACCTGGTTCTCCAGGGAAGGAGATTCAGCAGTTTTCTTCCAGTCCAGATGGAAAAATAGGTTTCTGTTTGACCACATGGCTCCCTGGGGTCTACAGTAAACTTTCATAATTTGGGCCTTTGCAATGCTGGTTAAATTATTTAGGGCTCTTGAACACTTTCTAGACCAGGGTTCCTCAAAGCTGATGTTATCTGTCTGGTGACTAACATGAGCTGGCTGCTCTGTTCCTAGTTTTTCGAGTACACATCCCAGAAGGAAATCCGCTATAACACCCGCCAGCCCGAGGCCTGTGTAGCTGTGGAAGCAGGAACAGACATTCTCATCATGCATCTGTGTGAAGATACTGCTCCAGAGGATCAGAAGTTCCTCCTGAAAGAGGTCAGTGAGTGCTTGGCCTTCCCTGCCCAATCCAGGGGCTGTCAGGAGCGTGAAGCCGGGGACTCTTCCCTGTGCAGTCCCCATGGGTCTTGGACATGGGGGCTCTGGAAGACAAGAACTCTACTGTAGTCACCTGAGGGGTTGCCACAGTGTCCGAGTTCATGGCATCGGGTGTCAGGAGCATTTCCTTCCTCCCTTCCAGCCTTTTCTGGTGCACTGTGAGGTACAGTGGGCTGTAACAGGAACTGGAGCTCTCACAAATGCATTTGGAGTTTAAATGGGGTTTAACTGGCCAAAGCAGAAGTACATAAGGCTAGATCCAGGTAGAAGTCACTGCATTTCTTAAGTTTCAGTTTTCCAAGCTGTAAAATAGATGCAAGAATAGCAGCCTGGTCTTTCTCTAGTGAGGATTTCATGTGTACCCAGAAACATTCTTTGGAAGCTGTAGAACTGTGTAGAGGCTCCTTGTGACTTGTGCTATTACAACCAAAAAGACTGCTCCAGGATAGCTCTATGGATACTCATTGTTGATTTGGAACTGGGTGCATTTCAGGCCTGGAAGGTGCCAGCCCCGCTGCATTTGGAGCAAGCCTGTGATAGGACTTCAAAAATCACTTGAGGAAAAGAAATCCAAAGAAAGTAATTTAGTAGAAAAAAAAATGGGTTAACTTTTATCTCCTGGGAAATTGTCATTCTCACTTTGGCCTCAGGGATGTGTTTTTCTAGTATTGCTCATAAAGAGGTTAATTCTCGGTATAATTAAAAGTTGGAAAAATTTTTTTTATAGAAAAATGTCATTCAGCAATGGAATTTGCAATCTGCCCAGAATAGCCAAGCACCATAGTGTTGCTGTCCATTTGATACAAGAAAACAGGAAGGAAGAATACTCTGGCACATCCCAGAGGCCTTTCCTCAGTTCACTAAAACTTTCATCTTAAATTTCACTGACTGTTTAAGGAGAAGTGAGTTTGTTTAGCAGGGAACAGAAGGAGACATATTAATCTACTTTTAAGTTCCTCTAACAGCACCTTACGGCTCTTGGAAGGGTTTCCAGGTGATAGTATTTGTGATTCTGTTGCTTCTGCTTTTGTTCCAGGGGATCTCCCCTTGGAATGGTTCCGTTATTCATTCTGCCTAGTTGCCACTTAGCCATGGTGGAGGTCATCATGGGCACATGCAGTGGTGACACCAGAGAGAGGTGATAGGACAAGATAAACCCTAGGCTGGGAGACAACTGGCCAGGCAAGCTCAGCACTGCTGGGGTGAGACAAGAGTAGGGGAGGTTGCAACATAAGATATTGTCCTCTAGGGAGGATGGGAGTTGGGATGGGCACAGAGCCCCTTGCCTCTGACTCAGGCAGGTAGCAGGGGAGGAACTCGGGCCAAGTAGCTAGAAGATTCCAAAGCTGGGACTATGGCCATTTTCTGACTCTGTTTAAATACATAAGAGCAAAACATCACTAGAGTTGGAATTAGTCAACCTACAAGAAGTGAGAAATTAAAAAAAAAAAACAAAAAACAAAGAAATCTTTGCTCTGATTTTCCTAAAGGAAAACAAGTTAGGAATGAGACGTGGGGTTGGCAATTCTCCAGAGCAGCCAGAAGGTGGCGCCATCTCCCCCCTCATAGAGCAGGCAATGCAGTCAGTCTATCCGTACTTGAAGCTCTCCACACGTAGGGTGGTTGTGCGTTGATATTTTATACACAAGACAGTTGCTGCACAATAAATATTTTTGAAACCACCCCATGAGATCTCCAGAACCCATTTTAAACGTAAAGAGACTTTCTCAGGAGTCACTTGTACTTGTCTTGAACATCCAGTGTCTATTTATCCTTTGTAGGATGGTTCTTTAGTTCACGAACAGTCCAAGAAATGTGTCCAGGCTGTGAGGAAGGAGGTCAGCAACAGTTTCATCCCGCTTTTACGAGACTGCACCAGCTCAGATCATCAGAAATGGTTCTTCCAGGAACGTGTGCCATAGAGCCCGCTATGCGGAAGGGGCCCTCAACCCCGATGGCCCATGGACTCTTTGCCCAGAAGAGGCCTAGCAAACGCAGGGACCAGAGCCCTCCACAGACTTGGCAGCTCCACTTTTGTAAGGAAACCATTTTGCCTTTTGTGAATATCTTGTTGAATTTTGTAAGAAAAATGTGAATGAACTTTGTACTGATTTTGAAAACTTTAAAAATGTTCCAAAATGCCTTATTTTCTGAGGATAACCATAAGATTTTAACTCTTTGTATTTGGAAAATTGAAACCTTATGATAATATTTTTCTATTAAGATGTATATTCTACAGCTGTCGCTTTTATTCTTACCAGCAAACACGGTAAATATTCCCTTTTGGTCCTTACGCGGGTTCCCAGATGAGAAGATCCTTGCAGTGTATTTTGCACAAACTGGTAATACCCCAAATGTTGGGCTGGAGTTTTCCCATTGTGGCATGACAGATGCTAGGAACATTTCATTTGTTCCTTCAGGTCGTTAAAATGTACTTAATAAAGAACCCATCTTTCTAGCTGGTTGTAGTGACGCATGCCTGTACTCTGGGTATAGATGCAAGAGAATCGTGAATTTGAGGCCAGCCTGGAACATAGTGAGATCTTGCCTCAGAAAAACAAAAAGAAGATGCATTTTGGTTATGTGTTGGTGTTACCGTCATAGTCAGACTTTAATATTCACATATGCCTGAGAGTGGACTTCTAACAATACCTAGCAGGAGGGTGGCTGGTTGCTTTTAGTAATTACCATCATAACTTTCAAACATGTTCCTATCATTTTTACGATGTGGTAGTGTCAGGGAGAAATTTAATTTTCTATGTGAAATTCATTTTTCAAATTTGTTCATTAATATTTGGTTATTTAATTTTTCATTGTTGGATTTTGTGTAGCAGCAGCTGGTACAGAAGTTTCTCTCAGTAATTCTGGTTTCAGAATGATCCCAAATCATCTCAGATCTTGTCAACTGGATAAAGTTAACATGAATGATTAAAAAAGAATCAATGAGCACATGGGCTGCAGGTCTTTGCTTTTGAACCCATTGGATGTGAGAGAATGAAGATACATGTGTAATTGACTAAAAAACTTCTTTTGTCTCAGGCGCTTTACCATACATATTCTCCCCTCTGAAAGAACCAGGTAGGGATCAGGTTAGCAATTACCTGCAAAAATCTCCAACTGGCCTGGCTTGGTCCACCTTATATATCTTAACTACTCTGCACCTCAGTCTTACCTCTAAAATGGGGATCATAAAACCAAGCATGGAGTAGTTGAGCGAATTAAATAACATCATCTAGGCTGGGTTCATTCAGTATTCTCCTCTGTTTTCATAAATACCTGGTGTAAAATGAGAAGCACAGTAAACAGTGTGTGATTACTGAGAAATAAATACAGAAGAGCTTTATGGGATTCTCAGCTCCTCAGCAGACAGGGGCTCACGGTGGTGTGCAGTCCCTCGCCGACTCTTCTCTCCCACATATCAGGTGGGATGGGCTGAGTCCTCCCCTCATCACTCCCTTGTTGATGACTGGGCCTGGACAGAGTTAAGCAGAGCTGCCTGCTTCCTCCGTGCTTTATGCAGTGTCCAGATGAATTTGATGAAGGGGCAGCCACCCCACCCCTACCCCGCCAGAGTCAAGAAGGTACCACAGGCAGATGTGAATTTGACACTCAACTATGCAGAGTTGGGGCGGCCCATAGACATCTTCACATGAGTTCACCAGCTCCACAGCTATTTGGCTGTATTTATAAAATCAGCCCTCTTGCCCTTGCCATCAGCTATATATGCAGCAAGTTTTAGGGTTGGAAAAAAAATCAATAAAATAAAATTATATTTTTGAACACATCCTAGTAAATGTTTTTACAAACTGGGAAGCAGTTGATAATATTTTGAGAAGCTCTTTCCTCTTTTGATGGGTGAAGACTCAGAGAAAAGCCCAGAGGGATGTGAGGAAATTCTCTGATCAATTTCTTTTGCCTGCGAGGATTGTTATGTGGCCCCATCTAGCCTAGGAAGGCGCGAAGACCTGGTGCATGGCATTTAGTGTTTGCGCGTGCATGTGCGTGTGAGAGAGTGAGGGTCTTTGCTGTGGCAGATGGGTTCAGCTTCTAGAATTCCATTGCATTTATCTCTGGTTTAGTCCTGAAATTTCATGACAGTGACTCTAAACTATTCCTGTCCTACTGGGGCCCCAAGAGATGTGGTCGTGGATTTTAGTTTGCCTTTCATGGGAATTTCTTTATGCCAGTGGATGACCTGACGCCTAAGTGTCCCACCATGACCAGGTGTCCCTCTCATAGGAAACTTGTTTATATTACCTTTGTGGCTCTTCTCTGAACTGTGTTCAGGTCATTCTACCAACGTGGCCATTCAGGGGAGCCCTGGCCAGAAGGAGAGTGGGGCTCAGGTGTGACAGGAGAGGCAGCACAGTAAAACACGTGGATTGCTGACATCCCAGACGGAAGAAGGCTGCAGTCCTGGCAGGAGCAACAGGAAGAGGGCAGACGCAAGGAACATGCCCACTCATCCTGCTGGTGAGAAATAAGAGAAGGGGGACTTGTGGCCAAAACCTTTGCTGGGTGGGATCCAGGTTTCCTCCGGAGTTCTAACTGGTGAATTTAGAGCAAGCAGGCACAAGTTCTGTGCAGTCATGCTGTGGTAGGTGGTTATTGGCATATCTGCCCAGTCTGCCAAGTATGGGGGTCAGCCTCTATGTGTCCCACAGGTGAGTGGTTCCCAGGAGGCAGGTGTATAAAGCGGATTGGGGGGTGGGGGGGCATTAGAGAACTGGAAATTGTGTCAAGGATGGGGAAGCCCTGCTTTTGATATGAGAAAGCTAGATGTGTATTCACAATGAGTATCAAGGCAACATGTAACAAATTATAAGATGCTTATTATAAAATACAAGAGTTTACCAGAGACTCGTGTGGTCTGCATAAGAGGCATGAGCATATCACTGTTCATTTCTTAGCATATTTTCTAGTTAGGCTTAGCAGCTGCATTAGGAATTACAATATGCTTCCTAACTGTATCCTAAAGTTTATCAGCTTAGTATTAATTCCAGTAACACTTAAGCAAATTTTTTTGGGGGGGGCGTACCGGGGATTAAACTCGGGTCCTTGCGCTTGCAAGGCAGGCCACCGAACCGCTGAGCTAAATCCCCAGCCCTCACTTAAGCAAATTTGTACCAATACAGCTCCATTTCCTACCATCCTCTGTTCTGTTATGGACATAGGCATCTGTACATCTTACAAACTCAACAACAGGATGGCATAATTACTGCTTAAAGAGCAAAAGAAGGGTATCACACACACACACACACACACACACACACACACACAGAAGAGTCTCATATTCACCAGCCTATGTGCATGTTCTGCTGGACCTCTTAGGGATCCAAGGAATCCGTTGGGGTTCTCTTTCATCTTAAGGACTTCCCTTAGCAGTTCATCGAGGTAGGTCAGCATGTGTGTGTGATGCCACAGCTGCATCCCAGGCCTAACAAATTATATTTGTTTATTTGGGGATGTTTTTTATTCTGTCTTCAGTTTTTGAAAGATAGTTTATCTGGATATAGGATTGCAGTTAGCAAGTTTTTTTGGTTTTGTTTTGTTTTTTTCTTTTTCCCTCAGCACTGAATTTGTGACTTTATTATTTCAGGGTCACCATTGTTGGGAATGAGAAGTTGCTCATCAATATTGTTAGTTGTATGTGATGAACCGTTTTTCTTTCACTGTTTCACTTTAAGATTTTCTCTTTGTCTTTACCCTCAAACATTTCTCCACACCATGCTTTCAGCTGCCATTCTGATCTTTAGCATCTTTTGCCAACTGGAGAAGCTGTCATCTTTCTAAATAATTCATTCTTAGTTCATTGTGTCATGGTTTCCCCCTCTAAACTCTTTTCTCTCATATTTTATTAGAGCAGCCAGAACAAATCAGGCAGCATCCTCAGTGTGTGTGGAAATACCCTTAGCCACATAGCAAGGTTTGTCTCTGGCAAGTTCTGCTTGCATTAGGTGTAGGAGATGTTTGCTACATTCTTTGCCACAACACAGCAAAGGTCCCTTTCTGTCGGTTTCCAGTGACGCGTTCCGTGCTCCCTCCTGAGCTCTTCCTGGCAGCATCCTCAACAGTCACACTAAGGATTGAACCCAGGGCCTTCACACTGAGCTACGTTCTAAACTCTTTTCTCTCATATTTTATTAGAGCAGCCAGAACAAATCAGGCAGCATCCTCAGTGCTGTGTGGAAATAACCTTAGCCACATAGCAAGGTTTGTCTCTGACAAGTTCTGCTTGCATTAGGTGTAGGAGATGTTTGCTACGTTCTTTGCCACAACACAGCAAAGGTCCCTTTCTGTCGGTTTCCGGTGACACGTTCCGTGCTCCCTCCTGAGCTCTTCCTGGCAGCATCCTCAACAGTCATACTAAGGATTGAACCCAGGGCCTTCACACTGAGCTACAGCTGCCTCCAGCCCTCCTCCCCTTTTTGAGACAGGGTCTTGTTAAGTTCCTCAGACACCCAGGAGGGGCTCAAACTTGTGATCCTCAAGATTCAGCCTCCCAGAGTGCTAGGTTACAGGTGTGCACCGCCACACTTAGCAAATCTATATTTTTACTAGGAGCCCGTTTAAGGAAATGTAGGTTTCTCGATTAGGCTCCTCAAAATTCCTCCTGTCTCCTCCCACACTGTAGGAATTTGATACAGCAGCATCTTATTTCTAAGCACCAAAACCTAAATTAATTTTCTTTCTATTTATTTTTAAAATTAATTTTATTGGTACATTTAATGTATACAACATAATGACATTCATTGTTGGAAATTTGCACCTTTACATAATCCATCTTGGTTCTTATTTTTCCCCCATTCCCCTGCCCTCCCTTGAACCCCTCCACCCCTCCCTATCTACAAAGACTTTGTTTCCACTTTTTCATTTTCTCATATTCCGTTCCCTTCTTTCCTTTCCCCTGTCCCTCCCATTTTCCCTTCCCCTTTGCCCCTTTTTTTTCCTATTTCACATTATCACACTTTCTAGTCCTTATGTACACTTTGAGTTTCTCACACTAAAGAAACTATTCAGTTTTTATATGTGTGTCCTATTTATTTCATTTAAGAGTATGGCCTCAATGTGCATCCATTTAGCTATAATGTCTCTAATTTCTCATTCTTTATGGCTGAGTAGTACTCCATATTAGGGAAAAAAACCCATTTTCTTTATCCAGTTTTGAATTGATGAGCAATTGGGCTGTTTCCAAGTTTTAGCTGTTACAAATTGTGCTGCTGTGAACTTGGGTGCACATATATCACTGTGGTATGATTCTTTTAATTCTTTGGGCAAAGTACCCAGCAGGGGAATAGCGAGGTCAAGTGGGACCCAATCCTAGTTCTTTGAGGTATCTCCATACTGATTTCCACAGTGGTCGCACCAGTCTACACTCCCACCAGCAGTGGAGCGGTGTTCTTCTTTCCCCCAGCCTCACCAGCATTTGTTATTGGTTGATTTCATGATAGTGGCCATTCTTTCTGGGGTGAGGTAGAATCTCAGTGCTGTTTTCATTTGCATCTTTTGAATGACCAGTGATGTTGAACGTTTTTTCATATGTTCATTTGCTATTTCTACTTCTATGAGAAGTGTCTGTTCATTTCAGATGACTTGTCTTCTTCCTGATTTTAGTGTGAAGGATTTCATTTTTTTTACCAATTAGTATGATATTGGCTGTTGGTTTTTCATAGGTGGCTTTTATCAGATTGAGGTAGAGAACATCTATTCCAGTTTTGGGAGGGTTTTTATCATGAATGCATGTTGGATTTTGTCAAATGCTTTTTCTGCATCTATTGAGATAATTGCATGCTTTTTGTCTTTGGTTCCATTAATATAGTATATTACACTTATTGATTTTCGTGTGTTGAACCATCTTTTCATCTCTAGCATGAATCCTGATTTCATTTTTTTTACCAATTAGTATGATATTGGCTGTTGGTTTTTCATAGGTGGCTTTTATCGGATTGAGGTAGAGAACATCTATTCCAGTTTTGGGAGGGTTTTTATCATGAATGCGTGTTGGATTTTGTCAAATGCTTTTTCTGCATCTATTGAGATAATTGCATGCTTTTTGTCTTTGGCTCCATTAATATAGTATATTACACTTATTGATTTTCGTGTGTTGAACCATCTTTGCATCTCTAGCATGAATCGCACTTGATCAGGCTGTATGATCCTCTTGATGATCTTCT